GGGGGGGGGGGGGACGGGACACAAGACAAAAGAATTGGGCTAATTTACTTTTCATTAAAAATGTATGCCCGTACAGCACTCCCAAAATTATCTGCTTCCCAGATACAATGTGCTCAGGCAGTTTTTGTGTTATTTGCAAATGAATGATAACATCCAGAAAATCCCTTCATATAGCTTTCCGTTCCCCTCATTACTCATTGTTCAGCAAAGCAAGCTGCACTGTCAACAGACAGCTAAACCCTCTAATCTAATCTACAACAATGGGATTATGACCATATCAGAGTGGCCTTTCGCCTGCAGTGTCTTACTGTCCAGCAGGGGGCGCAGTGAGGCACAGGGTGGCTGGAAGTTGTGGCAGCCACCACAGTTATCTGCTGCCTGCTACTGATGTGCAGGAGGAGTGGGGGAGGATGATGACTATCAAAGCCCGAGAGATTCTGCTGTTAGCAGCCACGCACAGAGCTGGCAAACACCAGTCCTGTCCTTCTCTTCTGTCACTTCTCTGCTCTGCCGATCATATTAGATTTGCACGGGCGGCAGAACTGAGGGAGCTAGACGCCCCCCGCTGTGTCACATGCTTGCACGAAAAGAATAGTTTCTATTCCCTCAGCGGTCTTTACTTTACACGCTACTGCAAGCACACTTTCTTCTTCACTTCCAAGAATGTTTGATGTGTATCTGTGCTGATGAGGAGAAAACTGCTGAGGCTCAGTTGTCACTTCTGCCTCCTAAGACTCATTTTATTGAGCCAAAGGCGTAGTCACGTGACGTCTGAATCCCTATCTTGTCTCCGCCGTCCTTCCCCCTACTTTGTCCCTCTCTCCACTTTTTCACAGGCTAGCTTGAGGCCAGTCTATAAATACCCTCGGCTGGGCGTGCGCGCAGTGTGTACGTGTGTGTTTGTCAAAATGCAGGGATGCAAAGCGCTCCAAGCCAAACAGACCCACGTGGAGCTGCAGCGTGCAGTTCGTAAGCAGGCTCAAGTGCTCGGCGGTAAGACGGGATAGAGGGAGAAATACTCACACACACACACACACACACACACTATCTAATGCCTTTCTAAATAATCTAAACTAACTGGGATACACAAACAATAAGCTTTCCCATTTTCCACCACAATTCTTTGTATGTGTTTGTGTTTCAGTAACAGATGGAAGCAGCAGCCTTGGAACTTGAGCCTCAGTAAACTGTGAGCAGTTATGTAATTAACTGTGTATGTGTGTGTGCGCGTGTGTGTTCTGCTCCAGCTCACCTCCTTTGAAGAGCTCGGTGTGCAGGTACGCCAGGCCGCGAGTGACGGAGTGAGCGAGCCGGCAGCTGCTGACCCAATCGTTGGTCTGGACGCTCAGGTAGCGACTCAGAGAGCCCTGAGGAGGACCATGAAGGAAGGGGAAAGGGCAGGAAATAGAGGGCAGGGAGTGAGGGGTGAAGGAGGGATGAAAACAGATGGGGGAGGAATTTTTAAAAAAGATTAGACAGGTGGTGGAGGGAAAAATGCAGATAAAAATCTATCACCAGCGTCACTTTCAAGATCTAACAGATACAAACAGACACAGGGAAGTGGGGAAAATTTACTAAATAAAAAAAAAACCCTATCTTGGTGTTACTTCAAACACAAGTAACTGCAACTGATGTGTGCAGGGACGGATGGGCCCGGGGGCACCCAATTTTGTGCCATTTGAAAGATGGATGTTTTCAGAAAATGTATGAATCAAATACGTATTAGCTCAGAAGGGTGCCAGTAGAGAGCACACTCGGCCAGCGGGCGGCAATAGGTCTCATCAGTCAAACATAAGAGGCGAGAACTGGCGGTGATTAAGTTGTGTGAAGACAAAATAGTCCGGTGACCCCAACCCATGGGCGAAACGGAGCTCTTAGTTCGAAAGGCCCACGCCACGGAGAAAACGAGGAGCATTCTCAAAAGCCGGGACCAGGTCTTAGAGGTTGTCAGACGATGCCTCTCCTCGGCCCCGCTTCGCAGAGCGCTGAGCCCGGCTCACCCGCTTCACAGGACCCCGGTGCCTCTGAGCCGTATCCAGCCAGGTGATTGATGAACCCGCCTGTCAGCCCGAAGTAATTCCTGCCACAATCAGTGATTGATAAGGCAACACATCTATGGTTCTCTTTTTTTGTAATCAAAGCCTTTACCAGCAGTAGATGAAAAGCTATTGGCTGGCTGTCATTTGTTTAATAATCGACTGTGCATGAGTTACTGCGGCTGCCTAGGGCTTAGCATCTGTAGTTCAGGCCAGTCCTGTTGTGGGGTTTCTGTTTATGGAGCCCTTTGTTTAGAACTAACACTGCCTGCTATACTGTGTTGTTATTCATTTCTATTTTCTTACTGTAAAAGTTTATGAGGATTTAAAATCAGGCTCAGTGTAACTGGTATACATACAACAAAATCTGTTGGAATATTTTATATATGATTTAATAGCACATAACTGACTGCTTGCCCTTTCCAGGCTTATTTCAGACTTTACTAGAGTATTGATTTAGCATTGCACTCCTATAACAATGTCAGACTCATGATGGACATGGTTGGGTTCACTGATTCAGGTGCTAGTTGTGGCTAATGGAGCTGCTAGCCTCAAGCAGCGATGAGGACCGAGCTACAGAGCTCACGTCTTTCTAACTCCACACCCACAGATATTTTATATTCACTTGCAATGGAACCAAGCTGATTGGTGCATAAGAGAGGTGGGGAACCGCACACTCAGGGCGCTCTGATCCTTCCTCGACTTAGTGCAGACGTCACTTCAGCAGATACTCAGCCACAAACCCTGATCTTTAGGCCCTTCTGAGATTTCTTTCTTGTGAGTTCTGAAACTGAAACCTAGTTTGAAAGAATATGAGAGAACCCCTTTCCACTAGGTTACCTGCATCAGGTTTTACTGCCATTTGGGCGGGAGCTCTGCTTGCCCAACAATTACCTGCCTGCAGGCTTTCTTTTGTTAGCTTTTATTGAAACCGTCTTAATACCCATTTCATCTTTGAGGCATTTATTTATTATTAAAAAAGGCTTTTTTTTTTTATTGTGAAAGTAGCTGCGAGATGTGTTTGTCCAAGTAGATATTTGTTTGTATTATCCAGTTGGTTACTGGTTCTCAGGCTTCTTCCCCATGGGACCGCCACAAAACTGACAAAATCCTTTATCACTATCCAATAAAGGCCTTGCAGTTCCCTTGAGTTATAGTTTTTGTAGGAGGAAAGCAATGTGCAATTCTGGTTTAAGAATTTGGTGTAAGGATGATGATGAGGGTGTATCAACAACTCAGTGAAAATGTTTACCAGAAATTATATTGCATATTATTAATTTCCTTCCTCAATTATCTCCCATCAGCCTTGATAATCCATTATAGGCCGGGCCCTGACGCACAAACACACACGAAACCCAACACACATGCACATACACTTAATCTTTTCTCTCAAAATCAATCACAAGGCAATTCGCGCATCCGCTACTAAAGAAAATTACATTAGATCTGTTCGTTTTAAATAAATTATATTATCATTTACTTGAATGCATTATGTGTCCTCGTCTCCTGTCCTGGCTTGCACCACGTTTCCATGACAACGTGTATTACAATGCACAATAGGCTTCTTTTATAGGCTGGCTGGGGGTCAGCTGACTTATGAGGCTGAAGGCTTGGACAGCAAATAATTTTAAGGTACATCTACATTAATATTGAAGAGTTCCTAGAGGCAGCCTTCAGCAGCCGGTGTCAAAATGTTCTTTTGCTACACCACCTGCATGTTTATTCGTCTGTGGGGAAAGCTGAGATGGGTGAAAAGATTATACTTTCAATATACTTTCTACCCTGTCCATCACTCAGAATCCACAGTGAAGCTCGGAGAAGGGAAACAAATCCCCTACAGGAGGGTCCAAAGGCCTTCTCCTCCACAGCCTCTGCCAACCCTATGAAGCGATGAATAATTCACAAAAACGTTTTAGTGCTGAAAAGACTCTACAATTTCTAGATTTGTCATCTTAAAGTAACACTGTCACGCTTCTGCGGTCACTGCTGTTGCTGGGCCAAAGACAGCTCAAATTGGCTCACTTTGGACAAGGGATCGTTACTATACTGTTCAGATATAATCCATTAGATTTTCATTGAATAAACCCTATTTTTGATACTATTTATGGTCAGCAGTTTGTCATTAATAGCCATTCAAAGTATATACACTTATAATAATAATAACCTCTCTACAAGGTAGAGGCCTGAACTCGACCTGGACTTTAACTCTAATGACTAGTGACTTCAATTGGACTCAATATTTATACTTGATACCTTCCCCCAAGTCCAAAGATTAAGAAGTGTGCCATGGATCAATTCATCTCCCTTCATTTCCTAAAATAACTAACGTCAGTGCTATTAATTCCCAGCAAGTTGACAATTTATTCCCGAGATCCAACTAGTTTGAACCAATCAGAGAGCATCCAATCAAGTTGCAGGAGAGAACCATGAAGTTGGAAAAAAAATAGATTACAATTTTTTCGTTCTGTTGTCAAAAAGGCATTACATGGTGAAGAGTGGAGAGTAGGACTCGGAGTGAATAGACCTGTAAAACAATAGTAGTTTTCATTGTTAGTGGCAGGGTCCACTATTCCCGCGCAGGATTCAAATTGCCTTCAACGTAGAAGGGATTCACAGGAAATCATACAGCATGTAATAGCATTACTGTTTCTAATCTGATCACACTGATATCAGATTCACTGTATACTGTTCACTCTCCTACAGCTGTATCAGAGAAGGATTAAATTACTGCCAGTACTAACCCAAGATTTCCTACTGCTGTTGTGTCACATTAAAAAGCACTCAACTGCCTTTAATTGTGAAGCAACCGCAGGAAACGCTGTGTATTATTCACTGAGGGTTAGTGCTGATTGTGATCTTTCACAAGACATAGTCAACGTCTCTTTTTGCCATGTCCGTTTTTAAATATTGCTGCGAGGAGGGGAACAAGAATGAGCAGCTGCGGTTGAGCTGTTAGATGAAGGGCTCCACCTCCTCTTCCTCAGCAACATGAGTTTGTTTGGCTATGCTGTAAACAGATACACCATTTGCTGTTAAGAAAGTGTTTGCTACCCCAAGAATTCTGGGAACTGTAGTATTAAACCGCACTTGTTACTATGGGAACCACATCAACCAGGACTGAAATCTTAAGGATTACATCTTTTAAACTGCAGTATGTCAAAAACAAAAGGGTAAAGGGCTGAGATCCCAATTCATTTCGCCAAATGTCAGCCTCTACACATGTTCTGCATACTAAACTTCCTGCTACCCCCCCTCCACTACTCACATGTGGGTAGTAGTCCATGACGAGCAGGTATTCAGTGCGTCCCTCTGGGCCTGTCCGCTCGTCTGCAGCCACAAACCGAGCGATGTTGTCATGCTCCAACAGCGGTAGCCGGTAGATGGAGCATTCATTTAGGAAGTTCTGCCGGTTGGCTGCAGTGAACACTTTCACAGCCACGGGTCGCTCGTCCAGAGAGCCACAGTAGACGGTGCCGTATCTGCCACGCCCAATCAGCTGAAAGAAGTAATGGTGGTGGGAAAAGCAAAAAACTATTTACAGACTCTCTTTTTTTTTTTTCCTTTGGAACTTGACCGTTTTAGCCCTTGCTTGTCTAATAAGAAACCATGTGAATAAAATGATGATTTTGTTTGTGCTGCTACAGAAAGAAATCCAGTCAGATTCTTTGATAAATACAAAGAGGCAAAAACGAGAGAAACACAGAGAGAGAGAGGTACAAACACAAATAAGACTTTCAGCCAGGCAGAGGAGGGAGAGGAAATAAACTACATTACAGGCAAACAGCAGGGTTAAACAGTTAAAATGGCCCAATGTTGGTCCCAAATCATTCAATTAGTTTCCTGAATTAGCCGGAGCACAGCATGCCATTAAGGCCCACCATTCTGCTTTAAAAGTCATCTGCACGGGAGGAAGAAATTAACGAGGAGTGCATTTATTTCGGTTTGGTTCCCACCTCCTTGTCTGCCTTTAAAAACATTCATCTCTGACTATGAAATAAAAAGCCAGAGGTAAATGTTCACAGTGAAAGCAGTGAACTCTGTTTTGTCTGTGGGAGAGGCTCCCTGGCTCACCCCGACCCTCCCCCCTCCTCTGCAATGACTGATGTTAAAGAACATGTGCCTGTATTTGATAAAGCACAAGGACAGAACTCTGAATTCTAACACTTCACACAGAAGACATCATACTACTCTATTTACTAGAAACCATCGTCATAGAGTAAATATTACTTTAAAAGCATACCACAGAGGTTTTGATTTCTATCAGTTTCTTCCTGCCTACCGCTCCGTATGATGACTTGCAGAGACTTGAAACCTACTTGACAAAAACATCTCTTGGTACTGTTTTTGTTATTAATTTTATGATCGTGTGGTAAAGCAGCTGATAGCATGCATTTGATAAAACTGCTGGTCAGATGATAGGTTTACAGTGAAATTCTGTTTTTCCTCATAATCGGGTCCATTCTGACTACGGGTCACGCTAACATTTCACTCACTACCTCAGTTGTAGAGATTCAGGAAACACAACTCTGGCAAGACAATATCAGGGAACGCGGCACAAGCCCGTGAAACGTTACATAAATCATTTCAAACCCTCGTCTCTGAGTCTGACCCAGAGTCAACCCATGAGCCGGCCTCGGCTACTAACCAAGCTAGCAGCCTATTCCTTTACACTTGCCAGTTTGTTTACCTGTGTGAGGCTGCCGATTTAAGGCACCTGTAGACTGCGAAACAATAATAATCATCATTTCGCTGCATGTCACACTGTGTGGGATGGGTCTCATAAGATCTTGGTCGTAATATGTCCGGCTATACTATCAGATCATGTCATAAATGTGTGTGATGAATCATAGTTTTGGTCTATGGCTGTGCGTGGGTATTTGAACAAGTTTACCAATTAATTTTTATAAGGCTACTGCTGCTTGAATATATTCCAGTTTCCAGAGTCTCAAGTGCAAAGTTATTACAACTCTTTGTCAGAATGGAAACAATTACCACAATAAGAGCCAGAACTACAGAATTTTCCTTTCATCTTTTATCTGATAAATCAGATTGTGAGCAGCACAATAGCTAGCTTTGTATTGCTTTGGATGTGTCTTTCAGTAATCATTGTATTGCAACCCTGTACGTGACAGTTAGAAAAGAAATGAAATGGAAAGATGGCAAAGTTTTTAGTAAAGTTAAACTGTATTTTAAAAGTTACAGCTGCCATTGTGCTGGCTTTTTTTGAATCATCAGCAGCATTCATTTCTCCTGCTCGCCTTGTTAATCCCTTCACCCTGCTTATGTCATTGTGGCTGAATACCGTCCAGATTCCATTGACTTTCTATCAAAATATGAGCTTTCCCACTTCCATATCAGGTTTTCAGGATCCTGTGTCAGTGTAAGCAAAATCCTATTTTTGCTCTGCCCGAACTGTCATTTAATGCGAGCTGCCGTGATCGGATGATAAAGGTCACATTGAAACGACAAATGTAACCGTAAACCTTGATGTATTTTGGGTGTATTTCTGCCTCTATGCCTTTGGTTTCTCCTTTCCCTCCCTCCTTCACACATACATATACTCCCTTGTGTGTAGAGATGCGGAATCCAGTGAGAACGCTACATGTCTGAACCAATGATACACGCGTTCGTCTTCTAAAAACAAATGAGTAGAAATCTGCGGGATATGGGGTATAAAAGATGTAGCGAGCCATGCTGCTGAAAGGGATTTACTTTTCTCACCAACACTATCGTTAATAACCAAAACTAAATGCAAGTGTGGAACTGTAGCAGTAATATAACTAAATCATGATTAGTCAAATTTATGTAAAACAACTTACAATCACTTCTCTATTGCCCCTTATTGGCTCATTTGGTAAGTGAAGGTAATATTACGCAGTGTTGTGCTGGCACTCTACAGCGTTACACTAAATACTTTGGCTCTTTCCTGGGCCAGAAAACAAATTGATGCCATTTATGAACAGATGACTGTTTAGCACTAAAAATATTACACGTCAGAGTCAGTGGAGAGAGACAGAGAGACAGAGACCACTGTAGGGGACTGACCTCCAGCAGTTTGAGATTGTCTAGGTCCAGAGAGCTCTCAGAGCCAGCAGCCTCCATCATATTCAGGTTGTGAAGCCCTTGCTTCCCATCTCCTGTTAACACGCAGACACACACAGACACACGGCTCAGAACTCATAAAACTGTAAAACATGCAGATGCATTTACACAAAAGATCTGATTAATTTATTAAATTAATTGAAATTCTACTAAAAAACATTCGAACGTCCTTGAATAATGAATGTTCTCTGCTCTTCCTCACAGCGTGGCGCCATGGTAACTCACCGTGCATCATGCGGTAACCGAAGAAGGCTGCTACAGCAAGCACGGCCAGCACGGAGACTGTTGCCAGGGTGATAATTACTGTCTCTTCGTAGCCCAGTGTGCGAGAGTCTATAAGGGGGACACATCAAAAACAAAAGTACAAATCAGACTGTGACCTTTTTTTATGTGGGAAGAGCAGATGGCTGCAACCATGCACTGGCCTCTGATCGGTGGGCAGGAAGTCAGAGGAAGGCTTTCAACCACAGCTGATATCTAACTTAATAGGTACACCTGTACAATCTGATGCAATCTAATACAATGGGTCTGCAATACTCTGTCTGTAATTCTAATATTTACATAGACAATGTTTGTCTATGCTAATGCTTTTGAAGAGAGACACTTTAGAATAAAAGGTAGATAACAGGATGAACTAAAAACTATACATTAATAGGATTTCATTTGGAATTCAGCAGCATATTATGTTTATATCACATGCTTTCCTTTCTTTTAATGCACTATAGCTTGGGCAACCTACAGATGCAATTATTTCCAAATCAGTAAACAGTAGATTATTTAGTTTATATATCGTTACATCAAACACAACTTCAGCATATTTAGCACCGTACACAACAACCAAACGAGGAGCAGTCGTCAGCTTTACTCTGCTTTTTCCTGCCACCAGGAAAGAAGGCAGCCGGCAGTGATTAAATATGGATGTAAACAATGTAGGATTTAAATATTTCAAAAAAATAAATCAGCTTTGCAAATGTATAATCAGTAAGGAAAGGCACTCAACACATTTGCTAGATCTCAGGGATGCACAGTGTTTTGTTTTTTTGGGGAGCAACTCTGAATGCAAACGTAACTCCACAGAACACCTTTAATTCTCACGGTGAGCCACACCATAAGCCTCTCGGCTTTTTGGCTCTGTCTGCTCATATGTTGTTGTTGTGTTTTTTTAATCTGTTCAAATTTTGCTCTGACTTCACATTTTATTCATTTATTCTGTATTGTGCAAATAAACTATTTTTGAGGCCAGAGTCAGTGTTGAATCATTTTGAAAGGTGGTTCCAACAACAAAATGACTGCTGCTGTTTGGATAAAAACTCTACTGGAATGAAAACAGGCCTACGAAACATTTCCTGTGACTGGAAGATATTTAATAGACTGGCAAGTGAGCACGTTGTATTTGGTTTTCCCTTCCCAAATAGGTCAATAACACACAAACAAACAATCAAATGTCTTGGGTATACAAGTATCTGTGTTTTCAGACCATCAGGCATGCCGCGAAGCGCACAAAGTTAAAGAAAATACATCAATAAAGTCAACAACCATGAAGAATGGTCAACAGACTGGGAAGCAGAAACAGAGGATGTGTGGGAAGTGAATGGAGGGAGCGAGAGAAAAATGTAAAAACGGAGAGAACACTCGAGAGCTGGTCAGATGGCAGGTAGAAGCAGTTAGCTGAGGTGGCTGCAGTTTTAGCTGTCAGGTTTTTGTGATTAATGAAACTGCACCCGCTTTAAGTGCTACTCTGGAGACAAACATACACACCTTACATATACCAACACTTGCAGCCTATACTCTGCAGAAATAATAGCAGCTGCCCGGATACACACATAAACACGCTCCCCTGCATCCGTTACATCAGTCAACTCACTGGTGCTGCCGAGAGACACCAGCTTTATCAATAATTGATGGCTTTGAGAGCCAGAGGGCAGCTTTGACTGACGTGCTAACATGAGCATGCATGCACACACGCATGCTCTGGCACACACAAACACGCGGGGGTTGACACGGCGCCCCTCAAATGCCAAGGTCAGTGAGTTCATCATAAACAAGAGGGTAGCACAGGAAGCCATCTGACAAACACAGGCTCGCACACACACACTGACACACCCAAACACACACACTGACACACCCAAACACACACAGCAAAATGCTGTTTAAAATCAGCATCATATCAATAATATTGCCTAGTTTTATATCTAATAATAAATACATTTACTTAAGTTCTGTATTAAGTACAATTGAGGAATTTGTACGTTTTCCTCTTTCTTTTAATACTTTAGTACTTATAACGCCACTACATTTATTTGACAGCTTTAGTTAATTTGCAGATTCTGATATAATCACTAATATAAAGTATAATTAACAAATATATTATGTTATAGATGACGTTACCCAGCGGTAGTTAGTGTTTACTGTTTTCACTAGCTGCCATATATAAATGCTGCTTACACATTAAAGACATTGATAATTATAATCCCACTATATAATATATAATTCTGCATAATGAGTACTTTTACTTTTGATATTGTAAGTATATTTTCACGTGAATACTTCTATACTTTAACTATAGTATGTTAGTTACTAGTTAAAGTCCTGCATTCAAAAAACCTCACTCAACTGCAGTGAACTATATATACTGAGTATTTCCCTGTGGTATTACTACTTTTACTAAAGTAAAAGATCTGAGTACTTCTTCCACCAGCTAGCCCTGAATGTTGTCATCTAAGGCTTCTTGGCTTTGAGTCACTCAGACAGAAACCATTTCCTACTTCTCATAATACCGCATAAATCTGCCCAGACATGTCGGGAATGAATCTAGCAAAAAAAAACAGAAAACAGGATTTTAACTTAGAATACAATCCAAACTTAAACGTCACTGATTAATCAAACATCCTTCTAACATCAAATGGTTATTTTTCCCCAAAACTTTCTCCAGTCTTTGTCTCGTCATCTGTCTACTCGTTGGAACAGTCACCGGCACGCCCGCAGACAGACAGATACACCAGACGCCTTGTAATCCGTGGAATGCAGAGAGACGACATGGATGGTAGAGAGTGTGTGTTTGTGTTTATGTGTGG